GGAGCCGACCTAGAAAGGGAGGAAGGCAATAAACAATGAGCGAAGTATGTAAGAGGTCCATAGTGGCAAGTGCAGTGGCAAAAATAAAGCTGGGGGGTGCAGGGCCAGTGAGGGAGGAGGGGAAGAAGCGCCATCCAGGAAAGGGTCCTGTAGGGCCCCCTGGACCCACATGGAGACAGTGGCTTTCACTCTCGGTGCCTTGAACTCCATAGGAGGGTTTTGTTTTGGTTTGGTTTGGGGTTTTTTATTGGAGTATAGTTGATTTACAACTGTGTCAGTTGCAGGTGTACAGCAGAGTGCATCACACATATACATATATCCACTCTTTTTTTTTTTTTTTTAGATTCTTTTCCCATATAGGCCATTACAGAGTACTGAGTAGAGTTCCCTGTGCTATGCAGCGGGTTCTTTTTAGCTACGTAGGAGGGTCTTGAGCAGCGGAGAGATAGGATCCGTCCTTCACCTCTCCCTTGCCCGTACCCTCAAGTCCCTGCTCCTCTCCATTAGCCCCAACTAAATCTAGCTTTCCACCTGCACCTCGTACCCCGGTGAGTTTGGGGGGAGAAAAGAAACTCCCACAACCCTCGTAACCTTCCTTGTTCACGCGGTGCTCTCCCACACGCAAAGATGATTTCTCACACCTTCATTCCTCTCACAGCTCTGCCATCTCCCCATGCTCTGCTCTCAGCTGATGACCTTCCTGCTTATTTCAAGAGCAAACAGTTGCTCCCATGCATATTCTTCCACCACTAAAGCCATGAGCACTTGTGCCCACATCCCTGTCTTCCCCCGGCTCCAGATGTCCCTCTCTGGCTCTCCTCAAGTCCACTTTTTCTCCTCTCCCCAGGGCTCAGACTGGCCTCTGTCTAGGGCAGGTGGTCTCAGCCAGCCCTGGAGACTTGAAAGACCATCCAAAACACTGAGCACTCCTGAAGGCATGCCTGCAGCCTGAAATTCTCCCCTGTGGTCCAGATCCACCCATTCAACCATCTATGTGACAGCTTCCCTTGGAGGAGTTGTGTTCAGTGGGTCCACAATGAACCTACCTGGGACTTCCCTGGCGGTCCAGTGGTTAAGACTCTGCGCTTCCAATGCAGGGGGTGTGGGTTCGATCCCTGGTTGAGGAACTAAGATCTCACATGCTGCGTGGCGCAGTTAAAAAGAAAAAAAAGAAAGAAAGAAAAAACAAAACAAAAAACTCAGCCTACCTAGCCAGATCCCTTCGGGTCCACTTTATCATTTCTCTGCACCCTTGCCAGGGCTTTGTGTGGTTTTGCACCACTGCCTGTACCTGCAACTCTTCAGAGAACTACCCCTGGGCTCTGGACCACATTGCCAATGCACCTTTGCTAGCACACTCAGAGAATCAGAAGTGCCTGGGAGCGTACCTTCCCCGGGGCCACCTTTAATCAATGACTTACCAGTGCAGGCTGTAACTCAACCTCCAGAGCTCCCTGGCAATCAGGCGATGTGTGTCCTCTGCAGGACTCTCCCTGGGCTTGCCTCCACTCAGAGCTGTGCTTCCTCCTGCTTCTTTGGCTCTTTTCCTTTTCAAAAAAACTATTTATTTATTTGGCTGCACCAGGTCTTAGTTGAGGCACACGGGATATTTGCTGCTGCGTGCCGGATCTTTTAGTTGCGGCATGCAGGCTCTACCTACTTCCCTAACCAGCGATCGACCCCAGGCCCGCTGCATTGGGAGCACAGAGTCTTAACCACTGGACCACCAGGGAAGTCCCAGCTCCTTTCGTTCACATTCCACGTGTAATCAATCAGGTCAGCTCCTCTTCAGATTATATCCAAAATCTGTACACGTTTTATCACCAAGACACATCAGAGCATGTGCTGGGACTAGAGCAGTAGCCCCCTCTTTGGTCTCCCTGCTTCTACTTTTGCTAACACTGGGCACTTTCCAGATCAGGCACTGTGCTAAACCCTTTACATTCATTCAGCTGTTTCATGCCTCTATACTGAGTGCCTGCTCTGTCCCAGGCACTCCGCCCAGCCCTGGGATAAAGTCTCAATACTAAAGAATAGGCAAGATCTGACATTCTGGGTGGGGAGACTTAACAGTTAGCAGGTGAAAATACAAAGAAGTAATTGCAGACTGTGACAAGTGCCATGAGGAAAAGAAACAGTGACGTGGTCATCACTAAGAGAGGCCAACTTTTTTTTTTATTAATTAATTAATTTTTGGCTGCGCTGGTCTTCTTTGCTGCAGGCGGGCTTTCTCTGGTTGCGGCGAGCAGGGACTGCTCTTCGCTGCGGTGCGCAGGCTTCTCATTGCGGTGGCTTCTCGTCGCGGAGCACGGGCTCTAGGCGCGCGTGTTCCCGTAGTTGTGGCTCGCGGGCTCTAGAGCACAGGCTCAGTACGTGTGGCGCAAAGGCTTAGTTGCTCTGGGGCATGTGGGATCCTGCCAGATCAGGGCTCGAACCCGTGCCCCCTGCATTGGCAGGTGGATTCTTAACCTCCTTAACCACTGCGCCACCAGGGAAGTCCCAAGGCCAACTTTTTTTTTTTTTTTTGCGGTACGCGGGCCTCTCACTGTTGTGGCCTCTCCCGTTGCGGAGCACAGGCTCCGGACGCGCAGGCTCAGCGGCCATGGCTCACGGGCCCAGCCGCTCCACGGCATGTGGGATCTTCCCGGACCGGGGCACGAACCCTTGTCCCCCGCATCGGCAGGCAGACTCTCAACCACTGCGCCACCAGGGAAGTCCCAAGGCCAACTTTTGATGAGCAGGGAAGGCTTCCTGGAGGTAAGCGCTGAGCTGAAGGCAGGATGGGGAGCTAGCTGTAGAAAGAGCCAGGTGGAGAGCGTTTCAGGCACGATCCCTGGGGCCAGGGTGTCTGGATGAGTCAGCAAGAGGGTGTTAATGGGGCGGATGGGGCAGGGCCTTGTGGGCTGCCATGAAGACTTTGGCTTTCACTCAGTAAAAGGGAGCAACGGAGGGTTCTTGAGCAGAGGAGGGGTGTGAACTCACTCGGGTGTTAGCAGGCGCCCTTCCGCACCTGTGGGGTTAACAGTGATGGAGTGGGGACGGATGAGTTGATACCGAAGGCTGGGAGCTGAAACTATGGGGAGAAGGGAGCAGGTTTAGGAGCTGTTTTGGAGGCAGGGTTAACGGGAGCTGGGGGGTAAGAAAGAAACAAACCTAAATGATCAAAACGAACAAGGAAACCCAAAGAACATCTGTACAGGATAGCGGGTGAGGACTTTGGAGGCCTGACCTTCTCAGCCCCTTTCCTGCTGGGGTCACCTCCAGACACGTCGCCCAACTCATCTGCCTTAATTAGTGAATGGCGACAGTACATAAGCAGATGAGAAGTACTCCAAAAATGGTAGTTATTTAAGAAAAATTCCGAAGTTAGGAATGTAGGAGGGAGAAAGGCAGTTAACATGGTGGAGCATTTGGCCCAGAGGTGACAGTAAGCGAGCTGGCACCAAGGGGGCAGTAGCGAGCCTCCAGGTTAGCAGGGTCGGGCAGCTTGGCAGATCTGAAGCCCTTTAGACTAGACTATGGTGCCCAGGTGCCCGGCCAGGGACAAAGCAGGCCTGGGGGCACATGTCCAGGCTGTGTGATGAGGAGGTAGGCAGGTCACTGCCACCTTCTGCAGTCTGAGGATCAGAGCCTAATAAGGGCTATTTGTTCAGGAGAAACCTGAGCCGCCTGCATGGTGGAATTCAGGCAGAGGCCAGCAGACAGAGGCTTCCTGCCCTCCCTCCTCCTCCCTGGGGAGAGTAGCCCCAGATCAGAGGATCCCAGGGAGGTTGAAGCTGGGGTTCCCCCTACCAGCCTCCCACTCCCCCTACAAACACTCCAGGCTCCCGCTCTGTACAATAGGCACTTTATTAGTGGTTGGAATGCAGTTACAAGTAGGGCTGTACAGACAGAATGGGGGAGGGGGCGGCAGGCACTGGAGACAGAAACCCCAGGCTGGGATTTCTCCAGATCCCGGATTGGGATCCTGGATTGGATTGGGGCGGGGGAGGGGGGGGCACTTGGGATATGGCGAAGGGGGAACCAGCACACCCGTTCCCCCGGAGTTCAACAAATTTGGCAAAAGGATCCTCAAGGCGAGGTGACTGGGTGGGGGGAGGGGTCCCCCCATTTGCCCAGGGCATCTGCCCATCTCCCCACTTCCTCTGAAATCATCCCTTGGGTGGATTCAGTTTCTTTTCTCTCTTACAAAGAGAGCTGTGTCGATAACTGGCAGAGAAGGGCGGCGGGGGGTGGCGGGATTCGGCCCAACCTGCCAGCCAGCCGGTTTCCATCAAGCCGCTATTAGTGACCTCCTCCACCCCTGTTCCACACCAGCTTGATCCCAGCCTCCCTCCCCGGACAGCCTGCCTTCTGTGCCAGGAGACACCCCTACCTGGCACACCCCCCCCCCACCCCCACCCCACCCCCACCCCCACCATATCTGAGGAGGGGACATCGGAAAGCATTCCTCAGGGGCCCCATCTCAGCCGTGATGACAGACAGAAAAAAAGCTAACAGACCCTTTAACGCATGTCCACGTTAAAAAAATAATAATAAATGCCTGCAGCAGCCGGTAGCCAGTTGTTCAGCCCCGGAGAAGGGTCCTGGCATCCTGGCCGGAGCAAACGCAAGTGAAAAGTGGACTTCCTGTGGCCACCGCTGCTGCAGACACAAACGCTGTCCTATCATAAGAGGGGGACAGGAAGCGGAGGGCAGCCCGCAGAGGGCCCTTGCATGTCAGACATCAAGAAGCCTCGCTGGGCTTCTCATCCGGGCCAGTGGGGGCTGGAGAGACTCATCGCACAGTGTTTTTGGGGGTGGGGGGCGGCCATGAAAACGCGGACTGATCCCACAAATCCTCCAGGTTCCCGGAAACTGGTGGTAACTGGATGATGGGGAGGGGCAGGAAGGGGGCGGCAGTGATAGGACTTCAGGTCAGCCCGATGGGCTGGGGGTTCTGACCCAGCTGCCAAGCACCCATTGTGAGACTTCCGGGGAGGGGTAGGAGGGCGGGGCCTTTAGGACTCCACTGGCTTCTTGTTGGTCTTGTTCAAAAGCTTCTTGAGGGTGAGAGACATGAAGTAAGGCCTCTCAGCGGTGCCATCGTTCCTCTCCAGGTCCTCCACTGCGGAGAGAGAGGCCCCAGAGCAGGTGGCATGAGGGGAGCCCACGGGCAGGGGCCTTAGGGGACAGGGTGGGCGGACAGGGGCCGCAGAGAAGCCTCAGAGGGTTAGGAAGCAAGACATGCTGGGACTGGAGGGGGCGGACTGGAGCAGGCTGGGAACTCGGCACACACACCCCCCCACACACACACACCCACACACACACGCTCCCCACTCCCAGGCCAGGAAGCCCCGCGTGCACCCCCGATCTACAGGGAGGAAACAAGGAGGCCTGCGTGGCCTCCAAGCCAGCCTCCTCTCTACTCCTCGACTCCGCCCCGCCTCCCCGCCTCCTCCGCACTCTCCTTCAACAGGATGTCTCTCAGCTCGGGCGACATGAAGTAGGGTCGCTCCTGAGAGCCGTCATTCTAGGGCAGGGGTTCCCCAGCTCCCAGGCCTCGGACTGTTACAGGTCCCCAGCTTGTTAGGAACAGGGCCGCACAGCAGGAGGTGAGTGGTGAATGAGAGAAGCTTCATCTGCTGCTCCCCATTGATCACATTACTGCCTGCACCATCCCCCACACCCCACCCCCCCCCCCCCCCCCCCCCCCCGCAACAAAGCCGGAAACTCCGAAGCTGAGGGCCCAGGGGCACAGAGTGTTCTAGTTGCAGCCTGGACCAGGGGACAACAGGATGGAGAAGCTCTGAGCGCAGGGGGAAGCTGAGAGGGGGCGCACCGGGGCCCTGCGACGAGGGACAGCCAGGCCCTAGGGGAGGCTGCGGGCACTGGGTTGGCGTGTGTACCCCCATTGGAGGGAGATGTTCTGCCCAGAGGGGAGAAGAGAGTCAGGGCCCAGGAAGGGTGGGGATGAGGGGTTACTCACAGAAACAGAGGAATAGTGTGTCCACACACATGCCGTAGACGCTGAAGAAGCCGTGGGCAATCAGATAGGAGCCGATGATCACCGTCTAGGCAAGGAGAGACAAGCTGTTTCCACCCCAGCTCCTGCTCAGGGCAACCCCCCACTCACCACCACGTCCCTTCCCACCTGGGGTTATGGCATTTCCCTGCTGATAAGCCCCTCCTCTGGACCTCCCCGGTGGTGCAGTGGTTAAGAAGCTGCCTGGCGATGCAGCGAACACGGGTTCGATCCCCGGTCCGGGAAGATCCCACATGCCGCGGAGCAACTGAGCCCGCGCACCACAACTACTGAAGCCTGCACGCCCCTCCTCTGGACCTCCCCGGTGGTGCAGTGGTTAAGAAGCTGCCTGGCGATGCAGCGAACACGGGTTCGATCCCCGGTCCGGGAAGATCCCACATGCCGCGGAGCAACTGAGCCCGCGCACCACAACTACTGAAGCCCGCACGCCCTAGAGCTCGTGCTCCGCAACAAGAGAAGCCACCGCAATGAGAAGCCCGCGCACCACAACGAAGAGTAGCCCCCACTTGAAAGAGAAAGCCTGCGCGCAGCAACAAAGACCCAGTGCAGCCAAAAAGAAAAAGAAAAAAAAAAAGCCCCTCCTCTTAGGCCTTCCTCTGGCTGCAATTTTATGCATCTTCAGGGCAAGACAGGTTTAATGCTCGCAACCCTACTAGACTGTGTCTATCCCGTTTATAACTATATCCCCAGTTGGGACTTCCCTGGTAGTCCACTGGTTAAGACTCTGCACTTCCACTGCAGGGGATGCGGGTTCGATCCCTGGTCATCCCGCATGCCACGAGATGCGGCCAAAAATATAAATAATTTAAATTTTTTTTTGTTAATTTAAAAATAACTTTATCCCCAGCAAGCTGGAAACTCACGGGGCCTTGGTAGGTACCTCATAAGCACTTATTGACTGAAGTGAGCAGACTTCAGAGAGATTACATAACTTGCCCAGTCACTCAGAACTAGCAAATAAAGAAAGACAGAAATCAAGGTCACATATCTACACTAATGTGTATAAAATAGATAACTAGTAAGAACCTGCTGTATAGAAAATAAATAAAATAAAATTCCAAAAAAAAAAAAAATCGAGGTCACTGGGCTCCAAGGCCTGCACTCAGATACTGTACTGCTCTTAGGGTGATGACCTAAGCCCTCCATGGGGGGCTCCCTGCCCTTATCTCCACCTCCTTGCCACTTCACTCCCTCCACCAGCAGCCACACTGATTTGCTCACTCTTCCGGGCATAGTCCTGCCTCAGGGCTTCCGTACTTGTTCCCTCTGCCTGGATATTGCCTGCATCTTCTTCAGATCTTAGGTGTGACATCACTTCCACAGGGAAGCCCCCTGGACTCCCACATCTGCCCACATCCTCCACCACAAGCTCTAACAAGTGGTTCCCTGTAATTCTGCCCTGTGGCACGCACAAGTTTGCAAGCATGCATCCAGTGTGGATCATCATTGGTTAATGTCGATTTACTCCTAAACTGTAAGGCCTTTTTCTTTTTTTTTGGCTGCACGGCATGTGGGATCTTAGTTCCCCGACCAGGGATCGAACCCGTGTCCCCTGCAGTGGAAAAGCGGAGTCCTAACTGCTGGACCGCCAGGGAAGTCCCAAACTGTAAGGCCTTTAAAGGTCATGCCTGGAACGTGGTCGGTACTTAAGGTTTGTGTCCTGAATTAACAACTCCCTACCTCTGAGCCCCATCCACACCTGTCTAGTCAAAGGAAGCTAGGCAAGTCCCAACATCTTCCCCCCAACCCCCATCTGTCCCCCAAAGTTCATACCAGTATAGGGACCCAGTAATAATTGAGGGGTGGTGCTGTGTCCTGCACGATCCTGATTCGGTGGGTGAAGAAAAAGAAAGCCAGGATCCCTGGAGAAGGGGAGGAAACCGGGATGGTTGAGGGTTCTGGATAAAGGAAATAGCCCCCCTCAAGAAGACCCCAGAGAAGACAGTTATCAGAGAAGACGTGGGGGCCCGACAGCAGCTCACAAGCGGCCCCCAACAGGCTCCCGCAGCTGGACAGCACTCACCCACACTACCCACGATCAAAAGTTTGCCCAACAGGAGGAGGAAGTCGGTAACTTTGTCCAGGACAGCCACCCTGCCGGGGACAGCAGGAAACGGGCGTGAGTGCTGGCTCAGGGCCCGGGGGAGGAGGGAGGTGGCCAGAGGACAGTGTTTTCCCAGACCTGATGATGTTTCTCATGAGGAGGAAGAAGGCGTTTCTGGCTGAGGTGCAGAAGTTGGTGCCGTAGATGGCAATCTGGAGGGAGGTGGGAGGGACGGATCAGGCCCAGTGGGTGGGGAATGAGGGCTCCTCCACCCAGCAGGAGCTGGTGGGTTAGTGCCTGGTCCCAGGCTTACTCACCATGATGTAGGCATTCC